ATAGATGGAGGTGATGAACAGATAAATGACAGCGATAAAAAGATAAATGATGATGGTGATAAACAGATAAATGATGATGGTGATAAACAGATAAATGATGGTGATAAACAGACAAATGACAGCGATAAAAAGATAAATGATGATGGCGATAAACAGATAAATGATGATAAGAGAGAGCTTAGTGACAAATACGAAGAGAAAGAGAAAACAAGAAATGAATATCGATCACTTATGGATAAAGATATGGAACAGGTGATGATGATGATGCAAGACACCCTAACTTTGATACCACTTTGCTATCCAGCATGTAGAAGCATTTATAACATTTTTCATAAAGCTGGTAAAAAAAATTTTCACCATTTATGCGATTTTGCAATAATGAGCTTGCTAATGATTTCTTACGTTCTTAGATCCGATTGCATTTCGAATAGGTAAAATGTTTATCTTATTTAATTTCTTTATTTTAACCATCATATAGAAATTTTTTTCTAACTCTTTTTAATAATTCAAAAAAATTATCTTAATTGTGAAATACACTTATAAATGACATATAATTCATTTATATAATTACATTTAAATAAAACAGAACCTCTAGTAGCACGTCACTATAGCAAGGCTCTATCACCTGCTTTAATCCCATATCATAAAGGAGGTCTCAAAGCTGTACAATTAGGATTTCAAGAATTCGGTTCAAATATTTCTAAATCAACAACAAACTTATTTAAATCTTTAAGCTTCTCAAAAAATAATAAGGATGAACCACTGGCTAAACGTAAAAATAATAAGAAAACTAGAGAGAAACATTTTATAGAGCGTGAATTACTTAAACAACAGCAATTGAAAAGGTTATACTCGGAAGCGGGTTCTTCTGTAAGTTTGTTAAAGGGTAGTAATACAAGAAATTCTAGTTGTAGTAGTTTAGAAAGTATTAGTAGCAATGATCGAATTAGTATAGATACAAGAGTAGCACGAAATTCTATTGATTCAAGTTATATTGGTGAAACAGATGAGCGCAGAGATAGTGTTGACAGTAACTTTGGTATTTATAATGAAAGTCCTAGAGGGCTATCAGTCGAGGCAAGGGAAAAGTTTTACATGTCTCATGTTGAGTTGTCATCGACAGTATCTGAGGAGAAGGAGCAGTTCTATAATATAAAGACGTCAAGTTCACCTGTGTTGAATGAAGATGGTCAATTAGATTATCAAATTAGTGGAGAAGAAAAATTGAAAAGCCTTAATAAGAGTGGAAGGATTGATTATTGTTTGCAGGTTATGTTATAGTCTTTAATCATGTTAAAACATATATTTTAATGATATTCTAACTCAATTCATAATTATTGTTCGATAATAGGAAGGGGTATTGGAAGTTAGTTACATATCTGCTATAACAGATCATCTTAGTTACTGGACAGATTGTGATGCAGCCTATTTTATCTTAAGAGAAACTTATCGAAATTATGATGATGATTAATGTGTGTAAATTATATCTCAAATTAGATCAATTTTATGCATGCTTATTTAAAAAAATTTTTTTTACTTATATATTTATAAGTGCTTGTATTATACTTATGTACTAAATCTCAAGCTAAAAAGTATTGTATTAAATCATGTGATTTTATTTTTGATCAGTCAGTGAGGATATTTTCATTGGTCCTGATTAATATACTGTATTAAACTTACTAAGTGAAAATGATTACATATAAAGGCCCGAGCAAAAATAATTACATATGAGTCTAATATTTGAAAAATATTACGTTTAAGGTCTCGAAATAGCTCAGCGGACAAGCACGAAACTCACGCATCAATAATCGTGATCTCGCTTTTGCCTTAGAGTTTAACCGTTGAACTTGTTTATGAGGCTGTTGCGGCTAGTGTTTCGGGCGAAACCGAAATTTTCGCCAGGGCGAAATTATTTTGGCTCTGGTGAAATGTTTCGGATTTTAAATAGTAGTTTCGCCCGAAACAGTTGAACCAAATTTGAGACTATTTGGACCTGAATTTGGCTCACTTGAACCTGAATTTGGCTCA